ACCGTTATGTACTTTTAAAGTTAGTTATCATTATATTGTCCACGGACATTCACGGACCCGTTACCTTTCAGTAAATCCTCCGTTGCGTTCAGGATTACCCATAGTCCTTTGCGTCTACCATTCAGTGCAGTGCCATTTAGCGGGATTTAACCTGAACCTCTTCAACTATGTTACACATATCATTGTAACCTAGCAGTGTGATGATAAGGAGGCCGTTGACTTGTATACATTTGCATATCTATGGTATTGAAAAGAAATTGACAAATATTAGTGTGTGTGTTTGAGTTAATGGCACAGACAGGAGCAGTCTGGCTGTTGTCTGTTAATTGTTAATAATCGTAATGATTTTTTAAAAGGTCACAGCTTATGTTACTTTTAATTTAGTGGTTATTTTAACATGCTTTAGTGTTGTTATGTAAACTAACATGCCTAACTGTCTCAGAATTAAACCTAATGTCAAAGAGTCATTTTTCCAAACATGCAAATTTTTTGATTCAATTGTAGCTTCCTGATTGACTCTTGACATGCCACGGCTAAAGATGTTATTCAGTACATTTTAAATGTTGGTTATGTGAGAGTATAGATAACATAATTTGATTAAGACTGATGTGTATTATAGAAGAAACTGACATTTTCATGCTTATTTCAACACCAGATACTATTATGCGGCAGAGGATTTAAACTTCATGACCACAACATTGTAGACTGGACCACAACTGCAACTCAGTTCTATAGAACTTGCCTGTGTGTGTGTGTGTGTGTGTGTATGTGTATGGGTTGGGTGTATGTCACGTAAATTCTGAGGTCATGCTTGCCATGTATTTGCATGTTGTGTCATCATCACTGTGTCTGTGTAGAGGGCAGGGCACAAGGCAGGGTGTTCTATCGTTAACAGCAGCCCCAGATACTTGGAACAAAAGCTCTGTTGTTGAAAGATCATGTGACTGTGTGTGTGTGTGCGTGAGTGAGTTGTCATGTGATCTGAGCTTAGGGCAGGGTCTAAGAAGTGCTGACTCTCTCAGAGGTTCCTTCCACCCAGGGAACAGGCAGACAGCAAGCATGCATGCAGAGAGAAGAGATGGACGGCCGGATGGATGTCAGACAGAGGAGATGTGGGGGAGAGAGAGAGAGAGAGAGAGAGAGAGAGAGAGAGAGAGAGAGAGAGCAAGGCAAGTTTTGACTGTTTTCCTCTTTTTTTTGATACGTTTGTTGGGATTTGTAAAATAATTGATCTACTCATGTGCTTCCACCCTGGTGATCAGAGGTTAAAGGTGAACTGAATTTGACATATTAACAGTGAAACATGTAGCTTTAGCTCTCGTTCAGAATGACTTTCAATGCAGCCGAAATATTTTCTATTCCAGGAATAGCAACATGACAGTGACTTCTTCTGACCTTTTTAAAACGATTAATTTCTTCCCTTGTAACATGACGGGTGTATGCTGGTGATTTTTTTCTATTTGAATAGTTTGTTGCAGCGTTTTGACTCATTTATGTTTCAGCTCAGAAGCCACAAGGCAGCCACGTGTTCACAGTCGTCCTGCAGTTCCTGTATTACTTGTTTGAATCAATTCAACCTGCAAGTCCTGCTTGAGAATCTCCACAGATCGTGTGTGTGTGTGTGTGTGTGTGTGTGTGTGTGTGTGTGTGTGTGTGCGTGTATGTGATAAACCAGTTTTGTATCTCTGGCTGCAGTTTGCATGTTTCATATCCTATGTGACCTTGCAAATTGTATTTCTTCAGTTGTTGGAGGGTCTTTGTCCACTTCGATTGATATTCTCAATATCTTAGAAGGTGAAAATAAAGAAGGGGTTGAAAGGAAACAAAGAGAAGTTGCGCTGCATTGAGAAGTTATTGCCATACTGGCGTATATGTCATTTTAGTGCCAGATCGTTCTGTTGACCAAGTGAAAAGATACAGTCACCACATACAGGACTCTGGACCTGTATGTGGTGCCTGAACAAATATACCATCGCATGCATCCTGCAAATCTGAATTAACCTAGCACCTCCAACACAGAACATATACATAACAGATGAATGTCTGCTCTGAACCTGAATCCTCTGCTTTGAACAGACGATTTCCCTCTGAGCTGATAGCATGTTGGTCTCAGTGGCAAAGCAGCACAGCATGGCTCATCCATTATGCAGCCGTTAAAGTAATCGAGCATGTCATCATATACAACGTGTCAGAGGACGTTGTGTTGTCGGGAGGTTTGTACAAAAGTAGAAATGCCTTGAATCATGCATGGATTTTACATTGTGTTAATGCTGTTTTGAATTACTTTTTCACTGGAAAATGTCGAGAAGAAGGGGTTACTTTTAAACCTTGTCTTTGTGTCTACAGAAGAATTTGACGAATTTAGCGTAGGATTATCTTTAAGCAGACGGTGAGCTGGCTTGGCTGGCTGTGGGAAGATGTGCTGTGGCTGATGAAGAGAATACAGTTTTTTTTTTTTCAGTTTGGGACCTTGTTGATGTAAAAAATAAAGTGCAAAACAAAGTTTCATCAACACATCGAAAGGCAAAACTGGTAGAGAGAGCTCATTAAGCGAATGTGGATTAAAAACGTTATCTCTGGCTGACTTTGTATTGTCTGCAGCTATCTTGCTTTCAAACGCGAATACTTGACATTGATCTTAATTTTGGACGTGATAACTACATACTTGATATTGTGATAAAGGACTGATGCTAAAGCTGCATGGCCCACATAAACATCAATATCCTCACCAGTTGATGATCCATGTAGAGAACATGGAATTAAAGAAGCAGTGTATTCATGTAATGTAGGGTAGAGGTAGTTATTCACATCATTATAAGAAAAACGGTAAGACTTGTTTTATTTTATTCTGACATAAGGCTGCCTAGCTTAAATACTTGGACAAATGAGACAGGTTCGATTTATTCTTTATAGTTGGCATTTTCAAGCACTAACCATTTCACCTTTAACACTATTTCTGATAATGGGGGTCGTGGGGGTGTAAACTTCCTCAAATCCAAAAGAGAGCAGGACAGATGTTACCCTAAACTCTGATATAGTAGCAGCAGCAGCTCCCACAGTGGATGAGCTAGTAATGAACGGGCCTTTTCTTTTTAACATAATCTGTAGTCAGATAGTTACCTAAATATGCTAGTCTTTGTATCTTACAGTTCGTATGAACAGACAAACACACTTTTACCATGCTGACACCACCCTCCATACTATCTGTCTTATAACCGTCCCACATATGCTGCTGTTCCAAGGAGGGATGAAGTTGTGAAAACTCACCAGTTTATCAATATGTCAAATCCCAATAGGTCAGTAGCCAAGTCAACCCTTTAAAAACTGAGTGAAGTCAGAGTAGGTGAAGCATCAGTTTGTGTATATCCGTCTGCCTCTCCATGCTCCTGCATTCCCTTTGTTTTATATCCTGTTGTCACCCTGCAGAGCAGCACAAAACAGGGACCGAGGGTCCTGTGGTTCTTAGCAATTGTTCCCATGGCTCCAGTCTGCCCTGCCCAGGTCTTCCATTGGACACTGTGTGCATGTTTAAGGGACTGACTTGGCCTTCTGTCAGTGCAACTCTTCCCATAATAGCAGACAGGCACTTCCTGCAAACCAAAGCCAGAAGGAAAGAGATGGAAAAGAGACAAGAGATCCCTGGATTTGTCTGGGTTCACAGTTAGGACAGATAGAAGAAGGTGTGGTTGTCGGTGTGAACAAAGCTTTTGTTTTTAGTAAACCAACTGGACTTCATGATACTTTAAACTTTTAAGGAAACGTTTGACATTGTAGGAAAAATGCTTCTATGCTTTGATTAATTAATTCTCTTGAATATATACATTTTAGCGTACAATATTGTAGGCTTCAGGTCGAAGACGTACTCTGATATGCTGTATGCGAGAGAATTACTTTTAGCCAAGAAGCTAACTGTTTTGTTGTTTTGATGGGGGCTCCGGTGCGATGGTATCCCTTTCAGAAACATTATAATCCAGCATTGAACTGCAGTGTCTTTTTGGAGACTTTGTAAAAATAAATGTATTCTGTGATTATTTATCAATATTTCTGTTGTCTGTTTGACCAATCAGAGGCTGTGTACCCGACTGTGAGGCAGTTTTGATCTCAAACTAGCTAGAGCACAACCATTGAGGTGGTTGGCATTTATTGTTTTGATCAAGGACACAAAACAGGGATAACATAGGGAGATAGGTGGACTCCTGTCATCATCAAACAAACCATCAAATTCTCTTTTGTCTCTTTGAATCTGCATCACAGACTTTATTGTGTTAAACAAAGTTGTGTTTATCAAGTGTGTCTTCTCTGTCCAGGGGCCTTTTATTTACCAAACTGGTGGAGTCCACCAGGCAGAGGTGCTGTGGCTGGCTGTAATATATATCCCTGAGGAGCATGAGACATGACCTCAGTGGTGCTGGTCGACACTGGTGGGACGGTGGTGGAGTATGTCACAGCTGAAGAGGACGACTCCCAGCAGGTGGGTCAGACACAAGCTAGAGTAACATTGCATCTGCAGTTCACAACAGAATCTTGCCTCCTTTTTTTCATAACTGTCATGTTCTCTTACTTTTTTTCTGCTCTCTTTCGTCCCCCAATCTGCAGGAGGGAGAGTGTGAGGTGGACCTGCAGTTTGAGGGAGAGGTAGAAGGCGAGTGTGAAGCCGAGGAGGCCTTTGAAGAAGTCCAGGACAGAGAGGAGGCTGAGAACTACCCAGCAGTCATTGTAGAGGAAGTACCCGGCGCCAGACTGGGCGATGAGCGAGGTTACTCAGCCCAGGTGTTCGTCTATAATGACGAGGCTTACCTGATGCAGGAAGTAGGCGATGAGCAGGAGGTGGAGACAGAAGGGGAGGCAGGTGAGACATAAATATTTCTGTATCTATAAAAGAAATTCCCTTAATGTTACCTCCGTAATGTTCATTTTGGCGCTGTAGGTCAGTACATCAGATGACTATCATACCGTCTCTTTTGCAACACACAACACATGGTAGTGGGCTGTGTTTTGTGTTGTTACTTGTGTTGTTAATTGAGGTGCTGAGAAAAGTTTTTCTCCTATGTATTCTGTTTTCATTGCTGGAGTAAAGTTCCCATTTCCCCTGGGTCGCATAGGTTTCATAATAATAGAAAAAGAGAGGGGATTTTTACTTGTTGTCAACTGCTCTTGTAATGCTCCTGTGAAAAGGTGAGGACTGTATTATTATAAGAGATAACACCACAGGTTTGCGTAGTAAAAGTATGGATAAGGTGCAATTTGTAAGGCCTTTCTCTATAGACACCCACATTGGAGCTTGTTCAGCTGTCACATATCATTTTGCTAAATGTTTCAGATAAAAGGCATCATGATACCAGTGTATATGGGGAAGGCCGAGGCCTCTGGCCACATAAAGTTTCATCTGACTTTATAGTTGTTGTTTTTTGCCAGCCCATAAAAAGTTCTGATTCATTACATTTTGGTAATACATTGTGCAGTAAGCTTAATGTTATCATATAACTTAGATAGTTAATTTTAGAAACTATTACCATCTTTAAAATATATGTTTTACCCAAAAGGGACAACCCCAATCTGGTCCAGTTTTGTTGCTTGATATGTTCGACCGGAGGGCTGCCATTCAAATTGCCATCCCTGCCTTACACTGGGTGGGCACAGTCTCTATAGGGTCAATGCCTCAGACTTTAGTTTATTTAGTATCCTGACGTATCCTGCCTTGTCCCTCTATGAAGCTCAAGTATTGTTTTTGTCAAACATTTCTTTGGTACACTAGAGAGGTTAGATCATGTCATTAAAATGTTGTGAGTTCACCTGAATCTAGATTCAACGTCAACAGATTGTTTCATAAATTCAAGCTTCCAAAGTATTGCTTCTGTTTGTTGTGGTTGGGCTGGAATGTGGCATATTTCTGATATGATTCTCCTGCCGGCATCAGTGTGACAAGGTCTGGTGAAGTAGGCTGTGAAGCTCACAGGCCTCTGTGTTCACACACTGCCACCTTCTGGGTATTTTTGAAACTTTCTCATTAACAGTGACGGTATCCAGTATTAACTCTCTAATCATCCATTAATCCCTTATTAATTGTGTCCAATCCAGTGCGGTGTTCATAAGTATGAAACAGACTGAAAGACTGGGACAATAGTATTTTCAACCAAAGAGAGATGTATTCATTCACATATATACATAATGAGTTTCTAAGCCTGGTTCCAAATATAAAATGTGCTGTCTCAAGCAGAAGGACAAAGTGATTCATTTAAACTCTAATGGTACTTACTGAAGAAGCTAGAGTGGCCATAATCACCCACTACAAATACATGATTGCTGTCTTTTTGTTCAATTAGTAAAGCACATAAGCAGATAAGCAGATAACATTCTGTATACTGTACTTGTCAGGCAATTAAGTATTGCAAAATAATCTATTTAAATTATCAAAATGATAATGACCTATGCTGTAATAGAGTACTTGTTTAATTTATTTATTTGTTGTAGTGCATTTGGCTTGTACAAAAATACAAGTTAAATCATTTTAAAAACAGCAAAACACATGCTGTGAAGTAATTTGAATATACAGTTTAAACAGAGCAACACACGGTCATTACAAAACATGGTGTTTGTTGTTTTTTAACCTATTTTAATTAGTACAATACTATCTTGTCTTGTTTTTTATTAGTCAATTCGTTGTGCAAACTACAAATTTGTTTGTATTTGTAGATTTTATTTTGTTCAGTGAGTTTATTTTAAAAACGGTTATCACAGCCCCGCTTTCTTTGACGTAGTCACTTCGCATGTGAGGGAGGGCGAAGGAAAGGATTTCCTGTGTTGGCTGCGGAGGGATACCTTTCTGCCGCCGTAGTGAGTTCGAGGAGATTTCCCATTTGCGGCGGAGTGATCTGAGCTAGTAGCTTCCTATACAATTCAGTGAGAAGTCAATGTGAATCTGCAGCAAGGGGGAAAACATGGCGACTTCGCAGCATGAGGGGCACGCAAACCAGCTCGATCTACTCATCCGAGCCGGTAACGTATATTTGTGTACTTATACCCTCGATCCGGGAGCTTACTGAAACGTACGGATTTGTGTTTGAACCCCCTCGTCCGCTGCGCTTCAGTCCGCTGAAGTAATGGAGGAGGGCAATCAGGAAGTGATCACCTTGGTAGCAACCTGCATGGCGTTACTACACGGTTTACCGGACCCGGTTTAAGAAGGGGAAAAACTTCCGCAGGGCTTGCCAGTCTGCACAAACGGATCGTTATCTGCACGAAGTGTGTTTTGCATGTTGTTGCATATTATTCCCGCTGCAACATGAGTTAGAATAACAATGTGCAGATCGACCCTGCACAACCAGGAAGTGAAAAGATGTTGTCTTTCCTACGTCTTTGCCACGCTGTCTGAGTCGGAAGGACATGTGGGTGTTTTTACTAGCATGAATATGTTACACACAGCCACATATCACCCGGTGTAGTAATATTATGTGTGGCTGGCTTAAGTTTTTTTTCAATTTGTGGTACTTCTGTGCAGTACTTCCTCACACGTTGTCTCTAAATAACAGTCCATTTAACCTGAAAAGTAACGACCATCGTGTGTATTTATGTGTATTGTATGAGAGGTGGCCCTATTTCAATATTCAAATTTCGGATGTTTTGATATTTGTTGTGTTTTGGTGTCCCGTTATCGTGTTGCACTGATTGAAGCGTGGGGTGGCCTGGCTCACTCGCTTTCTTCCCTATGGTTGTTTCAAGTGCGGCTTCAGTCTTCGACCACACTGACCTGTAAATACACACATGTGTGATATCACTCGGGTTTTAACAGTTAGTGTTCATGGGCTACGTGTTGCGAAAACAACGCGTCGTTTCCACCCAGGTTTTTCGCAAATTTCAAAGTATTTTGTCCCGTTTCGATGGCGGAAGCATTGTGTGCGGAGAGGGCGTGGTGTGTCGTTGATTGACTCGCCCATTAGTCCAATAGCGTGCGCGCTGGTTTATAACGTCAGCAGTAGGCCAATCAGATTCAACAGGGGGCGGGCTGTTAACCGGAAAATAAGCCAATAGGAGGTGAGGTGGTAGTTGAGTGACAAGAGGATTAGTGAGCTTCTTCGAAGAGAACTGGAGGGAAAGGATGAGGACTGTAAACACGGAAGTCATCAGAGGCCGCACTACTTTTTGTCGGACTTGCTGCTGTTCTTGGTGTCGTTACATTGTAGTATAAGTTGATAATAGGCATTTTCCTAACTTCTATTAATTATAATAATACTATACTATAATAATATATTATATTACACCCGCACCTGATGTGATGTACACAATTCTATATGTTTGTATTTTTCATATTCAATAGTTAAGAATAAATCAAAATCCCAACATTTTGGACAGACTCGAAATGGCTAAAGTGTCTATATGTGGTTATGTAGGTCAAGCCACAGCTTTCTGCCCTCACACCTTTTGGTGGGTGTTATTACACGGCTGCCTGGTTTTAAGGACAGCTCGGTAAGCTATAGAGTCTCTGCTGTGACGGCCGCCAGCATGTCCTGTTTGTTTGTGAGAGGGAATTGAATGAGTGGGACTATCTAAAGATAGTCCATTTCTCCCCATGCTGTGCCTGTTGCCTCAGTGAGATAGCCAAACATGGACAGGGCAGGGTGTAACAGGAGCTTGTGATTCCCACCAGTGATTGACACCGACAGCAGGTGCCCTGGGTTCCTTCTCAGGGTCCCAGATGGGGCAGCGTACCATTTCCTTCAGGCTGAATCCCATTTTCTATTCAAACAGCATTGTTTCTGTGCCAAGTCTTGCCATATTTGTGAAAGCCTAAATAGGGACGACATTCCTCATATCACTCTTTGAGTATCCTGAACCAATCCTGGCATTTTGCATCTTCATCGTTATAAGTAGTTCAACCAATTTAAAGAGGCAATATAGTTAAGATACTTCCATACTGTGAAGTTTAAACTTTACACACTGTGCCTGGATCAGAGTGAATGTGTTGTTTACTGAAATTGCTAAATAATTTTGGGCTATTAGTCTTTTCACTAGGGGGCGCCATGTAGTTGCACTTTGTTTGTTGCAGCATTATTGTGTGACACAGGTGACGAGCCGTTGGTAGTAGTATTTTTTTCCTTTGGGGAAATAATTAAGTTGTTTGCTTACATTTGATATGGGAAATCAAATTGTAACTCGTGTAAGAAAAATGTTCCACTGGGCTAAACCAGTCATTTTATTTTCACTTAACTATTTATTCATTGATTCTGTGTGTTTCAGTGGAGGCTTCTGTCCATGGCACCAGTATTCACTGCTATGACAAGACCTTTGAGGCTGCAGAGGCTCTGCTACGCATGGATTCACCTTCCAGCCTCAGAGAAGACCGTAGCCCAGGTAAAACACTCTCACTAATAACAGCCCAAAACACAATTTACAAATGGCTACACTTCAAACTTTGTTATGTTTCATAATAAACTCAACATAATTGTATACATCTATGTGGTGAGGTGTGGTTAAATACTAAATGTGGTTGGTCTGTTATCTTTGCTGTAGTTTGTATATATATCTATATATCTACAATTGTGTGAAAAAGTGTTTGCCCCCTTCCTGATTTCTTATTTTTTTGCATGTTTGTCACACTTAAATGTTTCAGATCATCAAACAAATTTAAATATTAGACAAAGATAACACAAGTAAACACAGAATGCAGTTTTTAATTGAAGGTTTTTATTATTAAGGGGAAAAAAAATCCTAACCTACATGGCCCTGTGTGAAAAAGTGATTGCCCCCCCCCCCCCCGTTGAAACATAAATTAACTGTGGTTTATCACATCTTTGGAAAGCCGAGTTCAATTTCTCTAGCCACACCCAGGCCTGATTACTGCCACACCT